TTCAGTGAAGCATAATTATTGAGGTGGGATTGGACAAAATAAATATTTAAGAAAGCAGAGTTATTGTCCAGGATACTACTGTTGTGTTTCACATTAGGCTTCTGGTACTGTTTTTATAGATTCTATTTTACTAACATGAATGGTCTATTGGTGTCTTGCCAAAAAAAAAAAAGGAAGAGAAAGTTGAAAATGAAATGTTAACCTACCATTGAGCTATTTTATCTCTGCAATTTCCTTATAGGGAAATTTTATATTCTGATTACTTCATGAAAAATGGATATTCAGCTTCTGGCCAGTATGCAGAACATGACTCAGTAGTGCAGAGAGTTAAAAAGCCCTGAAAGCTGACGATGAAAATTCATTGACCACTTCTGTAGGAAGAATTTTTAAAAAGAATGGATTCTAACTCTATAAAAATCCATGAGCTTATATTTCTTCATGTGATATATTTTCTGTGGAAATTAATTTGGGAAACATTCTCAAATTCAGGTGATATATGTGGGACTTCTTTTTTTTTTAGGCTTAACTGTTCTCAAAAGCATTAGTAATTAAGAGGGCAGCATATATAGCTCAGTGGTAGAGTGCATGCCTAGCATGAATAAGGTCCTGGATTTAATTTCCAGTACCTCCATTAATAAGTAAATAAATACACCTAATTACCAACCCTCCACCCTCCCAAAAGAAAACATTAGTAATTACAACTTACAAAAAGAGTCAGGCTCTGCTAGATAAATACAACTGAAAACATTTTTGCAAATTTTGTCTCAGAAAATATTATTCACTGGAGCCTTCAGTATGAGTGTCTTTTAAAAATTAACAAATCAAATATTTTACTGAATTGGAGGGAATAAAATCTGCAAATTGTCTTCATCTATAGTTACCATTCTCAAATATGAAAAATCATTTTTTCCTGCTTTGTTAACCACGGGCCACATGTTTATTTGCCCGCCATGTGTTTATTTTCATATGAATTTCTTCACTAGGAATTTTTTATTTCAAAAGCAGATCTTATACATTTGTACTATACCCACAGTTAAGATTCTTGTGCCCAGGTATGTGCATTTTCATTCCAAAGAATTAGACACTCAAAAGACATCACTTTACTTCAGAGTAGCCACAGATAACTGATTCTTCCCAAGTTACTGTCTAATTGTAAATCTTTGAGCAAAAAGAAAGAATTTCTTCATTAATTCCTCATTCTTTACAACACAGGTTAGAATAGTGTAAACCTAGGAATAATAGTTCCACATTATATATTTTGTTAACTTTAAGTTTAAAATAATGTCAAGTGAAAAAAATTATCCATTCAGTTAGTTACAATTTTCAGTTTCTAGTTTGTAGTTGTCTAAATTTGTTTGGATGACTGCAATTTCATTAGTTATAAATATTTTTATAGATGAGTTGAGGTTTTATGGGGAGGGGAAAAATGCAAAATATTATGAAAGATAGACACATGTTTAAAGTGTTGTCATTTGTTTTACATGAACTAGAAAAAGATGACACAGCTCTGTTTTGAAGTCATCCATCTTCATGAATTCTTTTATAAATAATATAGTTGAAATAGAACCTCAGACTTATTTTTGAGTACATATTTCCTTGTTATCTTTAAACTCAGGCATATATTAAGGGAAACTAAATCATTAAGTTTTTAAGTTATGATACACTTCATGTATCAAAAAGATTTATATGGCTTTTTTTCCTTTGGGGGGCTCCCCAAATATTTTGAGTATTTATGTTCTTGTTTGTTTGTTTAGAGAAGGCTCTAAGTCCGTGTTTTGTTTTGTTTTGTTTTATTGGTAGAAAATAGAAATTGTGCTTTGCTAAGTATAAACAATATCAAAGACTACAATATCTTCTGAATTTGGATCAAATCCCTAAACCCATAAGATTGCGTAGCTTCTCTTATTGGCAGAATGTGTTCGCATCTACCAAAGATGAAAAATGGGCCAAAAAGTAGCTTTAAGGTTTTTGTCAGATATTTACATATGAATCAAATGTGATGTCTTTAAATTGTACTTAATATAGAAAACATAACCATGTTTGACTTCAAACTTAATTGGTATTTGATGCAGTCATTGGATGTTCATGATTAAAATCTTACAGAAAGCCCACCTATGATGAGCAATCTAATATTTGTGGTCTCAATTGGTAACCTATGCCAATTTCATGAAAATCATATTATCATAGTTAGATCCAGGCTAACCACATAGAGCTCTTTCTCTATCCGTAATTACATAATTAGATTATTTTTATCTTAATGCATACTTTAAGGAACATTTTCTCTATGGTATATTATTAAAGAATCATGCCTTCTTAAAGTCTCTCCGTAAGCCAAGAAATCCACATGTTATGCATTACAGAAAAAAAGTTTTCATGAGATTTCTGCCTGGTGTTGAATCAAGGTCCAGGAACTGTATTACAGACTGCCTGTGATATTTAGGGAGTGAAGGGAATATAGTTACAAAGCAAACATTACTAAGATAATTGATGTGACAAGATATTGGATGTTAAAAAAATGTGTTATTCTCCATGCCAAACCTATCTCTCTCAAGACATAAAGACTTGGACATTTAAGATAATATTTAAAAACTATGTCATCTATATAGAAGCTGCATCTGCTATGGTGGACTCAGGGGAGGAGGCAGTCTTGACATGTAATAAGTCTATTTTGTTTCTACATTTGATTACTAATATAATATATACATTATCTTTCATCTTCATTCTCATTTTTATATATGTCAGAGATAGTGTAAATTCAACAGTAATACAGAAACCTGGCATACGGGTTTGATAGCTATCACTATAAATTCTGGCAAATTGCTTATATTTCTCTTTCATTATACTAGAAATGTCAGCATGGCTACCTCATGCTTGATACAGTAGAAATGAATGACAGACATACGGCTCAAGGTGAGAATAGAATGCCTAGGGAAATAGAAACATGTGACATTACCCCACCGAACCAAACGGACAACATTAATGAAGTGGTAAAAGGTTTTGATTACAGTGATTTTGTTTTCTGTGGATCTAGTGGATAAAAATTGAGCTTAAAAAAAGAAGGCTAATTTTGAGCCTGAAGGATACAAAGAATCAAACATGGAAGAATGCTCATTTGGGATTATGTGAGCTGTGACACAGGGAAGTTACTCGATAGGGAAGGGAAAGAGTGTTGGTTTAATAACACTTCTCCTCAGTCATTTTGTATATATTAGATAATAGGCTAAGAAAAATCCTGAAATTAAAAAAAAAAAAGAAAAGAAAAGAAAAATCCTGAAATACCCTGAACCTTACAGATACACATTTTTTGTCATGGAGTAAGAAGTAATTAAAAATTCAACCCTAATTTTATAGTTTTTCTGTGTGTAATAAATGGTAGGAAATAAAATAATTTAGATTCTTTAAAAAATTTTTTTTCCTCATAGAGTTGAGTAGTAAAGCCTAACAAATGAATAGTACCCTTTTTTTTTTTTTTTATTTTTTATTTTTTTTGCTTTTAGGGTAAAGAGATGATTTGGTGTGATTTACCCTATTCCATAAACTCTTAAGGAAAAAAAAGAGATCTCTCTAAATGGACAGTAGATAAATTCCTATTTTAAAAAGGAAAGAAAGGTATATGTATTTCTAGGATTCTCCACTTTATAAGAAAAATGAGAATAAATGTTCTAATTGCTGGTTGGTAGTTAACTCTGTACTTCCTTTGCTATGTATATATCATCTAAAATGGATTAATATTGGATCTTTATTTTGATAATTTCATTGATAAAGACATATTACTGATATTTGGACAAGGAGTACAGATCGTTTGGAAACAAGAATTACTTTTATTGGTTATTATCAATTATTAGATAGTTTCAGTTCCCAAATAACATTTTCTTAAATTGATAGAATGGCCACACACCTAGATGTTTGTTGTGAATGAAGACAGAGAAATCTTCATAGGTCCGTGAAGAAGTAACTTCTGTAGGAACAGGCCATAACTAGCAGCCAGAAAAAAAAAAAAAGCCATCAGACTATTCAGACTTCTGGCACACAGGATGATGATCCCTAAGAGAAGAAAACATATGCAGTGGTCTTACCAATACCAGAGCTTACTGATTGGAGGCACAGCACAGGGATGGGGAATGCAGACAGAGCCAGGTAATCTAACAGAGTTAAGGAAGTAGAGATAAAGGCTCTGGAAGGCTGTAGGGGAGTGAACCTGTGGGGCAGAATATGAGAGTGGAGGGAGCTGCGTAATGAGAAAGTTTTGAGTAAAGGCAGAACAGTCACTTTGAGTCTTTTTGCTCAGTGCTGATCTATACAGTCAGTCAGTGAAACTCCATAAAGTTGGAGAAAGAAGATGGGAAAGCCTAGGGTAAAAAATATTTGGCATCCATATCGGATGGAAGTAATTTTTATTCTTAAAAGCTAGAGTGGAGAGACCTCATGATCCATCAGGCCTTAGTAGTAAAGGTGAGTTAGCCTTAAAATCAAGATTGTCTGGACATATTTACAAAGTTACAAAGGAAGGCTTGAAAGGAACTATATGACTCACATGTAACTTAACTGTCTGCCCAGTCAAAAGTGTAATGCTGTTTAAAGGAATGCAAAACAAAAACAAAAACAAAAACAAAACCCTTCACTGAACAATGTGAAATACACAATGTCCAACATCCAGTCAGAAATTACTAGGCAATTACAGAGGCTGAAAAATACAAGTTTTCATCAGGAGAAAAATAATTGGACAGAGATAAATGCAGAAATAAATACAGAAAATAATGAACAAGTAAAGGCCTTTAAAAAGTTATGATAACTTCCAGTTTCTGATCTAACATGTAGAAACCTTGAAAATTGTTACTTAGTTTTCACAGAAAGAAAAAAAATGAGCAAATTAAAACTCAACAGTTATTTTTAGACATATGAAACATCAGTGAATAGAAGTAACAGGGCAAATGCTGCCCCAACTGGAGACAGAGTCTTATATTCCAAATTATAGGTTCCTTTTTTTTTTTTTAAACTAGGAGCAGAAGTCCAAGAGCAGAAGCCCACTGCTGAGGCCAGTACTGCTAGGAACACCTACACTGCAATTGCTGAGTTGTTGGAAGCTCAGTTTGGACCAGCTTGAGAGTGAGACTCCAGGTAGGTCCAGTCTTACAAGGTACATACTTCATGCTTATGAGAATTTTACCTTCAGTAGTCCCATTAGGTCCTCAGGATAAAGGAGAGAAAAATGAGGTGATACCTCATTGTAGTTTTGATTTGCATTTCTCTGATTATTAGTGATATTGAGCATTATTTCATGTGCCTCTTGACCATTTGTGTGTCTTCATTGAAGAATTGCTTGTTTAGGTCTTCTGCCCATTTTTGGTTTGGGTTATTTGCTTTTGTTGTTAAGTTGTATGAGCTGTCTATATATTCTGGAAATTAAACCTTTGTCAGTTATATCACTTGCACATATTTTCTCCCATTTCGTACATTGTCCTTTTGTTTATGGTTTCCTTTGCTGTGCAAAAGCTTGTAAGTTAAATTAGGTCCCATTTGTTTATTTTTGCTTTTATTTCTACTGCCTGGGTAGACTGCCGTAGGAGAGTATTGCTAAGATTTATGTCAGAGGATGTTTTGCCTGTGTTTTCCTTTTTTTTTTTAATTGAAGTACAGTCAATTACAGTGTGTCAATTTCTAGTGTTCAGAACAATGTTCAGTCATGCTTGCCTATGTTTTCTTTTAGGAGTTTTATAGTGTCTTGTCTTATAATAAGTCTAACGTATTTTTGAGTTGATTTTTGTGTCTGGTGTGAGGGAATGTTCTAACTTCACTGATTTACATGCTGCCGTCCAGTTTTCCCAACACCACTTGCTGAAGAGACTGTCTGTATTCCATTGTATATTCTTACCTCTTTTGTCAAAGATTAATTGATCATAATTCTATGGGTTTTCTGGGCTCTCCATTCTGTTTCATTGATGCATATGTCTGTTTTTATGCCAGTACCACACTTTTTGATTACTGTAGCTCTGTAGTATTGTCTGAAGTCTGTGAGTAGTTTATTCCTCTAGCTTCATTCTTTATCTTCAGTATTGCTTTAGTAATTCTGGGTCTTCTGTGATTCCATATAAATTTCAGGATTATTTGTTCTAGTTCTGTGAAAAATGTCCTGGGTAATTTGATAGGGATCACATTAAATCCATAGATTGTCTTGGGTAGTATGACCATTTTAACAATACTGATTCTTCCAGTCCAAGAGCATGGGATATCTTTCCATTCCTTTAAGTTATCTTTAATTTGTTTAATCAGTGTTTTGTAGTTCTCTGCATATAAGCCTTTCACCTCATGGGTCAGATTTATTCCTCAGTATTTTATTGTTTCTTTACTCTCTTTTTCTGATACTTCATTGTTAGTGTAAAGAAATGCTACTGATTTCTGTATGTTAATCTTGTATCCTGCTACCTTGCCAAATTCTTTCATCAGCTCTAGTAGTTTTTGTGTGGTGCTTTTAGGGTTTTCTATATATAGTATCATGTCATCTGCATATAGTGACAGTTTTACCTCTTCTCTTCCAGTTTGGATCCTTTTTATTTCTTTTTTGGTAGTGTCTTAGTCTGGTTTTGGTATCAGGGTGATGGTGGCTTCATAGAATGAGTTTGGAACTATTCCCCCCTCTTCAATCTTTTGGAAGAGTTTGAGAAGAATCAGTGTGAATTCTTTATATATTTGGTAGAATTTCCCAATAAAGCCATCTGGTCCTGGGTTTTTGTTTGCAGGGAGGTTTTTTATTGGTGATTCTATATCACTTCGGTGTATGTTTTTAGAAACTTGTCCATTTCTTCCAGATTGTCCAATTTGTTTTCCATATAATTGTCCATAGTATTTTTTTGTGGTTTTTTGTATTTCTGTGGTATTGGTTGTAATTTCTCCATTTTCCTTTCTTGTCTGTTTACTTGTGTCCTCCCTCTTTTCTTCTTGGTGAGCCTGGCCAGAGGTTTGTTGATTTTTGTTTACTCTTTCAAAAACCCAGGTTTTTGATTGATTTTTTTTCTATTTTTTTAAATGTCTATTTTATTTACTTCCTCCTTGATCTTTATTATTTCTTTCTTTCTTCTGACTTTAGGTTTTGTTTGTTCTTTTTCTATTGTTTTAGGTGGTAGGTTAGGTTGTTTATTTGAGATTGTTCTTGTTTTTTGAGGAAGACCTTTGATATGGGGAAGGGAAAACACTGACTTCAGAACCCCCCCATCCATTCTGTCTTATCCAAGGTGTGGAAACTAGAAAAAGAGCAAATTAAATCCAAAGTAAGAAGCAGAAAAGTAATAATAAAAATTAGAGTAGAAATCAATGAAATTTAAAACAAATCAATAGGGAAAGTCAAAACCAAAAACTGGGTCTTTGAAAGTATCAATAAAGTTGATAAATTCTTGTTAAATTACTTCTGGTCAAATTAACTAAGAAAAATAGAACACATATTTACTAATACCAGAAATTTAAAAAAGGCTATGACTACTGATCCCATGTATATTTGAAAATATAATAAAGGAATGTTATGAACAACTCTGTGTCCACAAATTTGATAACCTAGGTATAATGTACCAATTATTCAGAAGGCACAATTCGTGTACCAAAATTTGTATAGAGAGAAATACATTATCTGAATGGGCTTATATCTGTTAAAAAATTGAATAATTATTAATAACCTACCAAAAGAGGAAGCACTAAGCCCAGACAGGTTCACTGGTGAATTCTATCAAGTAGTTAAGAAAGAAATTTTACCAACCTCTCCCGGGTATTTGAAGCAGGAGGAATATTTCCCAGCTCATTCTATGTGGTCAGCAATACCCTAATACCAAAACCAGACAGAGACAGTATAAGAAAGGAAAAAAGGAAAAAGACAGACCAATATCTCTTATAAACGTATGCAAAATTACTCAAAAAAAAAAGCACAAATCAAATCCAACAATGTCTATAAAGAATTATGAGCATAACCCAGTAGGAATTATTCCTAATATGTATGACTAGTCCAACATTCAAAAATCAGTTATAATAGTGCTTCATATCAGCAGGCTAAAAGCACAAATCATGTAATCATACCAAGAAATGTGAAAAACATTTGACAAAGTCTAATACTTGTTCTTTTTTCATTTTTATTTTATTATCATTTTTATGTTTTATTGAAGTATAGTTGATTTATAATGTTTTAGGTGTACAGCAAAGTGAATTTTTTATATATAGATATATACTTTTTCAGATTCTTTTCCATTATAAGTTATTACAAGAGACTGAATATATAGTTCCCTGTACTATACAGTATGTCCCTGTTGTTGTTTATCTATTTTATAAATAATAGTGTGTATCCATTATTCCTAAATTCCTAATTTATCCCTCCCCCTACTTCCCCTTTGGTAACCATAAATTTGTCTTCTGTGTTTGTGAGACTATTTCTGTTTTGCTAATAAATAAGTTTATTTGTATCATTTTTTAGATTCCACAGATAAGTAATATGATCATTGTCTTTGACTTACTTCACTTAGTATGATCATCTCGAGGTCCATCCATGTTGTAACACTCATTCTTGATTAAAAAATTTCAACAATCTAGGAGTGGAGGGGATCTTTTTCAACTTGATACAGAACATTTACATGAAACCTGCAGCTAATGTAAGACTCACTAGTGAGAAACCAGAATCATTTCTGGTAACTTCATGAGGAAAACAAAAATGACCCCTCTTACCACTCCTATTCAATATCATAATGGAAATCCTGCTAATGAAATAATACAAGAAAAGGAAATAAATGGTATACAGATAGGAAAAGAAGAAATAAAACTATCCTTGTTCATTGATAATAAGGTTGCCTATGTAGAAAATCCCAAAAGACAAGAATACTCCAGGAACTAAAAAGTGACTATTGCAAGGTTGTAGATTATAAGGTTAATACTCAAAAGTCAGTTGCTTTCTTATTTAACAGCAGGGAACAAATATAATTTGAAATTAAATATAAAATATCATTCAGATTAGCATAAAAAAGGAATATTTAGGTATAAATCTCATAAAATGTGTATAAGAGCCATATGAGGAAAGCTATAAAACTCTGATGAAATAAATCAAAGAAGAAATAAATAAATGGAGATATATTCAATGTTCATGAATAGGAAGACTTTATATTGGCAAGATGTCACTCCTGCGCTTGATTTATAGATTCCATAAAATTCCATCAAAATCCCAGCCGTTTGTTTTGTGGATACTGACAAGTGAATTTAAAGTTCATACAGGGAGACAAAAGACCAGGAATAGCCAACACAATACTGAGAACAAAGTTGGAGGAGTGATTCTACCTGACTTCAAGATTTACTACTACTGTAAAGCTAAGGTAGTCATAACAGTGCAGTATTGGTGAAAGAAGAGACAGGCAGAACAAACAGAAAATAGCAAGATGATAGATTTAACTTTAGTGTTACTGATAGCCACGCTGCATATATTGTGCCGTCTGATACTAGGATCACATCTAGTGGCTTAGCCATGATGTGATGTGAGTATATACAACATGTGTTGGATTTCAAAGACTCAGTATGAGTTAAAATAATGTAAAATATTCAGTAATATATTTTTATATTGATTGTATGTTTAAACTATAATATTTTTGATATTTTTGGATAAATCAAATAGCATTTTGAAAAAATACTTTGTTTTTGGTGTGTCTACTGAAATTTAAAAAAATTACATACATGACTTATATTTGTGGCTCACACTGTATTTTTATTGGATAGCTCTGGTCCAAACACTCCAATTAAAAGTAAATATTGTCAGATTGGATGAAAACCAAGACCTATATATATGTTGTTGACAGGAAACCCACTTTGAATATAAAGACATAAGTTAAAATTTAAAGAATGGAAAAAGTTATAACATGAAAAACACCACTTAAATGAAGGCTGGAGTGCTCATTTCCTATCTTACCAAGTAGACTTTAGAACAAGGAAAAATGCCAGGACCAACAGAAACATTATATTCTAATAAAGAGTTCAATTTATCAAGAAGCTATAGTAATTCTAAATTCAACCAATAAGAGAAGTTTAAAATATGTGAATAAAAACAACAGACTGGCATCTTAAGAACTCAAGCTACATCAGGCTAAAACAATTTATTCAGGCTG